CATGCTGCCTGTTCTTCTTCCTGGTCCTACTATTCCTGGGTCACTGTTGCTATGTAAAGGAAGCTAGATGCTAGATCTACGCACAGCTATAAGCATTTATCGTTCTTAGAATCAGATAAAATCATAGAAGAACAAATTTAGATTTCCCTTTAAATTTTGTTTACGAACAACAAACAAATTAAATGGAATTACATCTGTGAGCAAGTCAATTAAGCTTTGATGGCATTAGAATCACTGCCAGTGAACATGTCAGAGGATCTTTGAAACTCCAACTCTAAGGTTTATCATAGGCTAACTTCAAGGACAGACATGTAGATGTGATGCTGAAGGATGAGCAAATGACAACAAAACATACCAAATTGGTCTCTCATTCTTGCATTTAACAACCTAATTCACAAGCCCTAATGTTCTAGCCACACAGATGTACTGAGTTTATCTCTGTAATAGACCATATTGCTTTTGCACAGTTGAATTCCTAAAGCTGTTTTTCCAGAATGTTGTGAAATCAGTTTTTTTTTTAAATAAGACGTAGTAAACAACTCGGATATATTTAACACAATTCTGGTTTTAGCTCTTTATGAATTCGTTTTCTGAACACTATCTAAAGCATGAAATATCTGTTCATCCCTTTTCAGTCTAGAATAGTGTCTCAATAAATATTGAATTTTGAAATCACAGCTGTGCTTCCTCTGAGGAGACTGTATTTTCATTAGAAACTATCACTAACTCCAAATCCACTGTTTATTCATAGGCTGTGCTTCTCATTGACTCTCTTTTTAAAGACTTTACAGGCCCTTAATTTACTTTTAATAAGAGCATAACAATGCCCTCAGTATCTTTTAATGACTTCACCTTTTCATTGTTAGCCAGTGAACAGACAATAGCTTCTCAAAGGAAAGTTGGCTAATTACACACAATACAGCATTTCCTTCATGATGAATTTGTGTAAATTTACCATCAACCAGCAGACTGTGAGAAACATTTAACAAAGAAGTTGCAACAGAAACATGCTTAGCATTTATGCAACTGTTGTTATATGTTAGAGGGAGGTCGCTTATTGGTTCCTGGCTGCCTGGCTAGTTTAGACCCAAAATAATCACACAGAAACTGTATTAAATCACTGCTTGGCCCATTAGCTATAACTTCTTATTGGCCATCTCTTATATTAATTTAACCCATTTCTATTAATCTGTGTATCGCCACTTGGCTGTGGCTTACCAACTAAAGTTCCTAAAGTCTGTGTCCGACAGCTCCATGGCTTCTCTCTGACTCAGCCCTTCTTTCTCCCAGCATTCAGTTCTGTCTTCATACCTACCTAAGTTCTGCCCTGCTATAGGTCCAAAGCAGTTTCTTTATTCATTAATGATAATCACAGCACACAGAGGGAAATCCCACATCAGTTATAGAACTAGGAAGTCATGATTACCATCCAGGTAGCTTTTGCTCCAAAACTTAACTTGAATTTTTGTCCTTTGAAGAAAGAATTCAGAAAACCAATGCATACACTGGTCAATATTCTCAAAAATAATTCTACAACATAGTAGATCTTATTTATAAATCTCCATTTTTTTTTTATCAAAATAAACTCAGTAGTGTTTATGTTATCCAAAGTACACAAAACTTCTTTGGCTTGATCACTTTGTGTCATTGGGATAATTTCAGTGAGTTTCATTTCTAGATTGCAAACTTAATAGTACAGAATTGCTGTTAACTCTGTGCTTCATCATTCAAATACTTAGCTTTTCTTCATCCATTGACTTTTCAGTACATATTTATTAACCTCTTCATATGTAAAAGACACTGAATTGTGGGCAAAAAGACTAAGAAATTAAATAGAGTATTATTCTTCACTTAAAACAATAATTTATTTTAAAATGCATTTTTTAAAATTGTCCATGAGTTCATTGTATATCCTTTGGGTCTGGTTAATTTGGGTGCATGTTGTTTTTATTCATTTACAACTTTTATAGTAATCTTTTATTTAAAAGCAAAGGAAATACATGATGATAAATAAAAAAAGATATTTTCTTTGCATCTGTCTTAAAAAGCATGCAAGATGGTAGTTTAGCCTGAAACAGTTTCTTGAAAGAGGGAACACAAATTCAAGACTTGATGGTGAGCAGGAGCTTGCCAAGTTAGAGAACAGGATAGAAGGGAAGACTGGGCAGGATAACATAAGTACTTCAGGGTTTAGTAAAAGAGCAACAAAAGCAGAGAAGACGCAACCAGGATCACCTCAGCTAAAGGGATTAAATGTTTTAGAGTAACTATCAATTTGCTATGATGTTTCAATGTCAATAGATAAGAACGGATTCCTGGATGGCCACTCAGGTGCTGGAATATTAGCCAGAATATAAAGAGCTCAGATCTGTATGCAGAGGTTATTGAGAAGTTAAGGAAGCATGTAAAGAGGGGAAATACTGTGGTCAGATTTATATAAACTTAACTGATGTGTGCATGTGGTTGTGTGTATCAGTTAATTTCATGGGAAAGTAAGAAAAATAAAGAGCTGCTATAAGGTGTCTATGCTTCAGGAAGTACAATCTCTCTATGCCAAATAAAAACCTTTTACTTTTATAATATTTATGAGGAATAATTGTCAGAATTGGTGAGCAGGAGGCAGAAAAAGATGAAGAAATCAGGGAGTAGGTAAGATTTCTCTGTATGTCTAGGTGGCTGGAAAAAAAGTTTAGGGTTTATATAAAATACTTCAAATGTATTTGTCATAGTGGACTTTCTGTTATGTACTGCCCATCCAGAGAGTAAATACAGTAAATATGCAGAAAAACAAGGGGGAACAGTACAGATTGTGAGTTACTGGCATGTTCCATGGTTGGTGAAATTATGAACAGACAACACTAATGGAAAAGGAGGAAGTGAGATGAAACAGGTTAGCTACATCCAGTTATGTGACCTCTCTATTTTTTGATGCTATACATGCCTGTTATCAGCTTAGCCATTCTTCTTCAGTATTGACAACTAACTTTGATATGTAGCTCATTTACATTTTTTCCAATTGAATCTATAAGCTGTTACAGAAGGTTTATTTCATCTTTTTCAATCCGTTTTAGAGTCTTTCACCATCTTTTAACTTTAGAAATGTGAATATATATAGTGGTGACTATTTCTCTGCTATTTATTATTTAAAAATCTGTTTCAGGTGTCCAGTTTTATGATTAGCCATAAAAGCTACTTGTACTGATATTTCCACTGTTGTTCGTAATCTCATCAAGACTTCTATTTTTGCTGGGGGGGGGGGGTGGCGCACGCCTTTAATCCCAGCACTTGGGAGGCAAAGGCAGGCGGATCTCTGTGAGTTCGAGACCAGCCTGGTCTACAAGAGCTAGTTCCAGGACAGGCTCCAAAACCACAGAGAAACCCTGTCTCGAGAAACCACAAAAAAAACAAAAAAACAAAAAAACAAAAAAAAAACAAAAACAAAAAAAAAAAACACAATTTCTATTTTCTTCTGATCAAACTTCATCCTCTAATTCTTCATTTCACTCTTAATTACCCTCGTATTTTTTCCTGGTTATTCTAACTTTCACTGTTTCATCTGTTGCCTTGCCAATAACCTATCCATTGCTATGCCAGATTTATTTTTTTATTTTGTCTATTTAAAATCACCATTATTTTAATAATTCAATTCCCACAAAAGATTCTATGTCAATCCTGTTTGAGAAATAGGAACTGAAGGAAGAACTCAACAAGAGAGACTGCAGAATTCTCTACTTTGTGTTATGCTTCCTATGGGGAAATCAACCAAGATGTTGTGAGAAGAACCAAATGCCCCAGGCAGAGACAAGTGTAGAAAGGCTTACAAAGAGAAGCTGAGGATTATAGGCCTCCACTGACAACCAATATCTGCAATAATCCATGGCAGCCAACATGTAAGTGGAAACAACTTCTGAACTAAGTTGTCAGGAGCGGCTTAAGATACTAGAGAACAAAGACAAGCCTTTGCTTCAAAAATAAGGTTTGCTTTAATTTTATTTTCTTCAGCAATATTAACACAACTAAACAAAACCAGCTCATTACAATATTCAGGGTATGTATGCCACTACACTTCTGATTTTTCATTTGAATCATTCTAATGGCTACTGCCAGCTACCACAGAAAAGATTTATTTTGTCTTTTTCTTTTCTTCACTATCAACTACTATGTGGTCACTCAAGTTTCACTGGTACTATTTAATCAATACCACCAAATTCTTGATTGTCCATGGCTCTGTGTACTTACTCTCTACTTAGTTTTAAGTTAGTTATCACATGTCTTTCTTGTGTTCAGTACCTGTGTTGAATCTCCCTGATTGTCAATACTTGTTCTTCAAATTTCTACATTAGCAGTAGACTCAAAGAGATCATGCAAAAGTCATACTGTTCTGAATCAGGGGAATCATATAGATAATCAGAGATTTGTACAAAAAGAGGGTAGACTGGATATGGTTGACAAATTAAAGACATTCTTCTGGAAATAATAAAGTTGTAAGGTAACTTATATTGCTAAAGGTTATATATTAAAAGAAACCATTAATCATTATTGGTTTATATTAAGCAATTTCTTTGTACTAATAATGAATATTTGGAAGAAAGAAAATACATTTGAACAAAGAACACATCCTAACTTCTCTTATACATGTAAATACTTGAATAGTATTTTTTCTTGTTGTACGTAGTTTCATGCCAGTAAAGATATTTCTTAGGAAGTCAGACCTTGAGAGGAAAAACTGACCTTGAAGTACCCTGCAAATCTTACCACTGGCATTCAGCGATGCCTTTGCTGATGAAACTGAATTTACATCAAAAGACAAGAAGCCATTATTGCTGGAAGCCTGCTATGCCTAAGATCTACCAAAAGACAGTAGGAAATGTTATCTTCTGAGCACTGCTGTGAGGATTCATAAGAGCTTTTAGTGATGCTATATACAAAATCATTTTACTGAATATTCGAAACATCATTTCCCTTCCTTCATAACAGGAAAATGCACCCTTTCTCCTTACCTTGCTGAACAAAGGATCCATACACAAACCACATGGAGTTGTAGAGTGTAGTAGATGTCATTGATCCCATTTGCAATCGTGGGGGATTAAGCCAGTTCAAGAGGTAGACCAGTAGTCCCACAAGAAGAACCGTGCCAGCAATGCAGGCCCACAGAGATAGATCAAATGGTGCAAGACAGGCAAACATATCCACTGTTTTTTCTGCTCTTCGAAGTAAGACCCCCACTGAGTAGTCCATGTAACGTGTTGTAAAATCCACAACATTCTCTCTATCTGGAGTAATGGTTAAAGCAGAAATCCCGATGTCAGCTCTCTGAGAAATTGAAGGAGAGAAGAATACATTAATAGAGTGAAAACAATTTGGTTTGTGCCATTTCAGTTTGCCTTGAGGGAGAAAAAATGATGCCTCGGGCATCATCTTAAGTCTCTTTATATAAACTGAAAATACTAGAGACTCCTTAGAGACAAGCTTATGCGAATTTTGCATATATTATTGCATATAGTGCCCCACTGGAGTCAAACAAATTACCTAGTTCATATTGCCAGTGTATGTAGAATCAGTCAGGAATGCCTCAGACACAGATACTCCTCAATAAATTGTATGTTGTTTTCCTTAATTCATTTTATCAAAGCCATCATCAGCACACTAGCAAAGCAAAACTTATCCAAAGATTCCTAGCGAAATGTTTCCAAGTCATTCACAGTTTCTTAACATCAAGGCAGGTTCCTTAAAACTTGAATTGACATGATCTTTTGTTTCAATTTCTATGCGTAAAAATTATATTTTGGGCTCTAAACTTGTAAGGGCTGATTTGTAACATTATATATCCAAAGTCTACACCATGCTTTTGCTATATACTCTTTAGGGGTTGTCAATAAATAATTAATAACCATGGAGACAGATACTTTTTGAAATCATGATTCCCCTTCTCAGTGTGTTCCCTTAGGTCTCAGTGATAGCCATCACAGCAACACATACTATCCTACTTATCTAAGACACATTACAGAACTGCAGTAGAGCACTGAATAAGCAAATGACTTCACACTCAAGTTCTGGGGTATGAGAGTGCATACTTAAATAAATAAGCATCTTGTTGAAAATAATGATCGGTGGCAGCGATTAAAACAGTAGGAAGCCCTCTCCAGACGAATATAAATACCAATAAAATATATGTTGAACATTTTCTAGCTGTGTTTCTTTCTTTTTTATTGTTTTATGCAAGGAGACAGAAATTCGTTTATAGCTTTTAGGCACTGAGAAAAAGAGGGAGAGAAGAAAAGTAAGATGTCACAGAATTATAAGCAACTTCAATAAATCAATTTTCTGAAAGAATAAAGCTCTTAACATATTCTAGGTAAAGTAATGGTTGTGTACATAGATGTGTGTGTGTGTGTTTACTATCAGATGCATGTAAAGGTCAAAGGTAAAAGAACTTGTTGGAATCATTTCACACTTTCCACCATGTATGACTGCATGAATCAAACTGAGGTCATTAGACTTAGGGACAAGCACCTTTTCCTGTTGGTCCATCATGCTGGCCCAACACTGATGTATAATGAACACATCTAAATATATTAAATATGAGTCTCTATGGATTTTTAATCTATTTATATATGAGATTATTTTGTATGACTCAAATGTTAATAAATATGGAAATAGCTTGTACAGATTGGATATATAGAAAATTTCTAAATTTTCATGGAATTTCATCACTTGTGTATTCTATGCTTGGGAGAATGTTCACCCTCCCCAGGAAGGCAAATAATAATTATGATGACATTTCCATTTCAACTGACACATCTACACACACACACACACACACACACACACACACACACAGCTTACTTAACTATTTCTAAATTTTGATTCACTTTTCTTTTTTTTTTCCTTCCTTAATTTTTATTTTTTTTTATTTTATTTTTTTTTAATTTTTTTTTATTGCGAAAAGAAGAAAAAAAACATAAACAAAAAAAAAAAAAACAAGTTTCCACCTCCTCCCAGCCTCCCATTTCCCTTCCCCTCCTCCCACCCTTCTCCCCCTCCTCCCACCCTTCTCCCCCTCCCCCCACTCCTCTCCCCCCCCCCCTCCCTCTCCAGTCCACAGAGCAGTCCTGGTTCCCTGCCCTGTGGTAAGTCCTAGGTCCTCCCCCCTCCGTCCATATCTAGGAAGGTGAACATCCAAACTGGCTAGGCTCCCACAAAGCCAGCACATTAAGTAGGATCAAAACCCCCTGCCATTGTCCTTGGTGTCTCATCAGCCCTCATTGTTCGCCATGTTTTTATCCCATGAGAGTCCGGTTTTATCCCATGCTTTTTCGGTCACAGTCCAGCTGGCCTTGGTGAGCTCCCCGTAGATCAGCTCCACTGTCTCAGTGGGTGGATGATCTCTTGATTCACTTTTCTAAGGAGTTTCTCATTCCCCTTTTCAGATTCAGTGGTACAGCACATGTCCAGTGGATAACTGCCATTGTTCCTTATATTTATAAATGCTACACTATACAGAAAAAACTCAAAAAACCCCACTTATTCAGAATGAAAGTTTTAAAGATTCTAAATATCTAGAAACAGAATCAGAAATGATCAGTGACAATAATTCAGTCTTTACTAAGTCTTAACTTTCTTTATGTGTCAAGGTAGTCACCTCATTTATCTACTTTATACAATGGTTTTTCAGATATTCATCAATATGAAACCTTTGGTCTTTCCACACGATCCAGTGCCTCTCAGAAGATGATATCTATGGTGTCATATAGAGAGCATGGGAAATATAATATTGGAATTAGCACTGACTTCCAGTTCCACATCTCATGCTGATTCCATAGTCTGAACTACCTCCCTGGAACTGATTCAAGAGAAACCACATTTGGGCTCCTTGTAAGACAAGATTTCCATGTCTCTTTGATTAGGACAGTAATTGTATTTACACTAACAGTTGCCTACACACCTGACCTTTTGTAACTAGTTAGAAAAGTTATAATTTTCACATATTTGCATGAGTTTTATTAACATGTGACTCCTCTATTAGAATACAGCTTCAGACAGGAAGAAATGTGAATACACATATGCTCATACATACACACACACACACACACACACACAAACACACATACAAACACACATACACACACTCCTGGTGCCTACTACCTATTCTTTGACTTTTCTATAATCCTTTTGTTTGTCAACATTCCCAGTTAACAGGAGTTTAACCTTTACTTTTTCTCCTCCTTATCTTTTTCAGAAAGTCCAACAATGTACCCCAGAGAAACAAAAAACTCTTTTTCCTCTCTCTGTCAAGTGTTGGATGTTAAATGTTAGGCTTACAGGCATGTAGTATCTCATCAAGTTAGAAGAGTATTTTAAAGAATCAAAAGAAAAAGACAAACTAAAATTTGACAGGGTTTTATAGCAATGATAAATGACTAGTGTCTTGAATAATTAATCAGATATTTGAAATGTGTTTCTTGGTTTGCCAGTATTTATGTTTTTATAGTTTTTCTATCATCACTTAGCATCTCTTTTAGTAGATTTAACGTATGATGAAATGTTATTATGGCTAACATTTAATATTAAATGATTACCCAAATTTTGATTAAGAATAGCATTAAAGTTATATTATAAACAAATATATTCTCAAAACTATCCTAATTAATTACATAGTTAAAGCACTTTTTTTGAAAGGAGATTCAAGAGTTTACATTCTTTCAAGTCATGAAAATTGGATGATGAGCAGCATACAGAACATGGGGAATGACTAAAAAGAAACTCAACTGAGAATTTTAGAAGATTAAAATTTGGAGACTTTGAAAACCATTTCTTCCAAACTTAATCAGATGTAAATTCTCACAGCAAAAAGTCATCAACTAGTTTGTTCTTCAATGTGATTCTGCAAACATGAATAACTGGCATGTAGTCAGGGCTTACTTGACATCAAGAAACATATCCTATGTTCTACATGTATGTTTTGATATTTCAATTTTTCAAAGTGACATTGCAGGAGCTAGAGATATACCTCAGTTATAAAAGTCCTTGAAACAGAAGCTAGAGAACTTGAGTTTAGTCATCAGAACTCATGAGAAACAAAGAAAGCAGACAAACAAAACACAGGCAAGGAACTGTGTAATTAGAGTCCGAGCCTGCTAAGTGGAGACATGCAGATTCCTTGGTCTTGTTGTATATCCAGTTTGAGCTATTTGGTGAGCTCTAGGCCAGTGAATGGATTGTTCTATAAAACAAGGACATAAAACTCCCTAGAAGTTACACCTTAAGTTCTGGTCTCCATGAAAATACATGCGTAAGCATTCACATACTGCATGTGCATCCATATGCACATGGATAAATCTGGAGTCCAGATAACTCTATTTGGTAGGATATTAGGCTACCGATCAAATATGATTTGCAAGTACCTTTGATTTAGAGCCCATAAAAACAAAAGTTTCTCCTAAGTCCTTTTCAATTGGCTGTGAAGGCTTGTATTGACACTTTAGTTCATTTATGTCCTTCACATGTCTTCAATGTTTAAAGTGTTTATCTGTCCTCCCTTATATCAGCTTTTGAGAGTTTAGAAAGCAGGGCCTTCATTCTTCTGTCACAGCAGGAAGGATGTATCTCTCACAGGTGCCATCACTACAACCAAATACCTCTTCAGCTGCCTCCACCATGACACTTCATTACCCAAAAATGTAGGTGTACTTTTCAATCAACTACCAATATTCTTTATATATTATTATCCAATCAGGTTCTCACACAGTTTTTAGGTACTCTGAAACAGGCATTATTGAACTGAAAATCAGTGAGTAATCAGATATACATCCTCTTATGAATAGTTAACAGTACAAAAAGAAGATAATTAACTATTTCTACCATCTACAGCATATCTGTTATTTTATCTGAGAATAAAATCATACTCATTTCTCTATAAAATGAACACATATCCCGTAAAATTTGGAAAATGCCAGATTCAAATCATAGAACATTCTTCTCTTTCATAAATGAAATTTATAGAAACTCATTTATTACCTGAAAGGAATACATGCACTTCCCCAGACACCACTTATCCTGATAAGGAATTTGAACTCTTCCAAACAGCCAGTTACAAGTTTCAATCTTACTGCTTCCCCCCAAACGTTGCTGTGGCAGCTTAATTTCCCTAACCTCGTAAATGCTCCCAATCTTTTTATAATAAAGAGCTGCTGTATTGGAATTTCTCAGAGACTGTGTCACTGCCTCTCCATTTTCTCACCCTGATTCCCTGCTCTGGGGGAAGGGGGACCACACAAAAGGCAGCAGCAACCAGCTGGAAACAACCGCTTGGG